AACCCTCTATGAGACCAGTACTAAACCCCTGACCCTCTATGAGACCAGTACTAAACCCTGACCCTCTATGAGACCAGTACTAAACCTGAACCCTAACTCCAGCCTTTCTCATGCAGCTGCTATGTGAGGAGCAGTTGGCATTTTAACAATTTCATTGAAAATAAACATCATGCAATCACAGCCAAATGGTCTCTGTTGGTGTCGTCACTGTTCTTTTTCGGGACCTTTGAGTTAGATGTGTTGAAGGGCGCCTTTTAATCCAAACAATAGTCTGTTCATATCGTCAGCGAGGTAGTTTCAGCGCCTTGCATCACAAAATACAAATTAAACTAAGTGACCTTGACGAAGTGGCAGATAGGGTTTACAAAACATGGATATGATGGAACACTTCATAGGCCCACAGGACTTTCAAACAAGAAAATGAGCATCTGGTCTTTCATTCAAGGTTTATTTACAACTATGGACTTATAAAGATGGAAAACAAGGGACTGGAGTTCGTTGCAGGCGTTCAGTTCGTGTCCTGTTACAGACAAGACACAACACAGCACACACAGCGTTGGGCTCTAGCTGTTGATTTACAGGCAGATATGTAGATGTTTAACAGGAGGAGGGGTTCCAACAGCACCAAGGCCAGAATAAATAAATCTCTGGCTCAATGTGTAAGATTTACCAGAACCACAGAGGCAAGCTCTGGATCAGCTCACACAGCTAATTACAACACTGTAGGGCCAAAGCCTGCAGCTCTGACTTCAGGCCAGCTTTAGAGCTTAGAAGGAGGCCACCATGGTCGACAGCATAGACATGGAGAAGCAAAAGAAGCAGTATTGTATTCGAGGTAAGCATGTATTTATCATCTGCGTGACTGTGGCGGTGTGCTCTCTGGCAGTGGGCCTCGGGGTGGGCCTCTCTAGGTCGGATAGCGTCCCCGTGACCCCCGTCCCCCCAACACCAGGGCCGACCCAGCCTCCTCCTTCTCCTGGCAGAGGGCCGTGCACACCTTCCACCGACTCTGATGGAGACTGGAGGAACTTCCGTTTACCCAGCTACGTGACTCCGGTCCACTATAACCTGCACCTGGAGCCGGACCTGGTGGATGACACCTATAGTGGCACTGTGGACATCCAAGTGGAAGTCAGTAAGCCCACTCGTCATCTCTGGCTCCACATCAGGGAGACGTTTGTCAGCGCCATGCCCAGGTTAACCATGCTGAACAGCCAGGGAGCACAGAGGGAGGTGGCCGTGAAAAGCTGCTTTGAATACACGCCTCAGCAGTACGTGGTGGTGGAGGCCACAGAGGAGCTGCCGGTCACCGGCCCAGGAGAACTGTACGTGCTCAGTCTGGACTTCCAGGGTTGGCTCAACGGCTCTGTGGTGGGGTTCTACAGGGTCATCTACACAGAGGGTGGGCTCACCAAGTAAGTTCTCTCATTTGACTCAGTCACAAACATCATCCACACAACACATGCTTAGAGACAAAAACACACCTGATCAGACAAACAGGCAGAAGACAAGCAGCTCAACTTCAGTGTTTGAGGTGCTGGTTGCACTTTACTGTGATTCACCGCGTTCTCTGATTTTGTAAATACTGACAATTTCAGTTCTAGTATGTTATGCAGGTGGAGTTTGTATCACATGAATTCATCCATTTATTGCATCTATATGGCAACCAAGCAAATTGTCTCCACTGACGAACATCTAACAGCTATGAAGTGTTATGGAGGGGGAGTGGACGAGGGCTCACTTTCTGCAATAATCAGTCCATCATCTGATCACCAGGAAGATTGCTGCAACGGATCATGAGCCAACAGATGCCCGAAAGTCATTCCCCTGCTTTGATGAACCAAACAAGAAAGCCACCTACACCATCTCCATCACTCATGACGCTGCGTACGGCGCTCTGTCCAACATGCCGCCAGAGGTACGACTCAAGTCACAATGCTGTTGTGGGGCGGGGCATACCACCAAGACCCTGAGGCACAGTATTTAACCGCTAGTACCAAAATGTTAGGTGTCACATCATTAGCACAGCTTTACAAAATGCTGCTGGTGTCGAGAAACACTATTAGGTAGTAAGATAGACCCAAACAAGTGTCTGGAGCTCCAGTCAGAGCTGATGAAGCCTCTTGGATGAGAGCTGGAACGTCTTCAAGGAACTCAAACAAGTCCAGCTGCTACCATTAAACTACGAGACTGTGTATCAGCAGTTCAGTAGAAAGGAAAGTTCTCTGACCGAAAGTGCCGTCTCAGAGGCTTTATGCCCCTGTAGTACTGCCTCCCTTAGGCTGTGATGTTCTGTAGTCACCTTGAACACTTGTTGTGTTAATCAGGGACACCTTTGCTTTAATGAGTGAAAGTTTCTCACATAGGAAGTGAAACAGGTAGCATTATATTTGAGGGGGATGTTCATCATTGAATCTCATAAACACGTATCATTTATCAGCCATGTATGACAAGACTGATGTCCATTATACTTCTGGAATCCAAATCCAAGCTGTGAAGACTGCCGAGCTTTAAGCACAGTCTGTCTGGTTAAGTGTCTGCTATTGAGAAGAATCCACTTCCTGTCTTTATCAGATTCTCCTAATCTCTGACTGTTGTTTCCAAATGTCTGACGTGATTATTTTGATTGCCGCTGTAACCGGAACATAACCTTCCTCTGCTTTGGGGCATGTCAGCTAACCTCCACCTTAACCCTGAAGCCTTTGCGTTGCCTTTCCAGGGCGCTCCTCAGCAACTGTCCGGCAACAAACTAAAAACCACCTTCCAGAAGTCCGTTCCAATGAGTACCTATCTGGTGTGCTTTGCTGTGCACCAGTTCAAGTATGTGGAAAGAACTTCTGCCCGAGGAATTCCTGTGAGTTTCCTATGATGTGTCCGTACCAGTGCCATCAGAGATTTAAACTGATCTTGCTTTACTGTCAAATACACACCTGTGTGTTCTGTGTTCCTGTGCAGTTGAGAATCTACGCTCAGCCGAGTCAGCTAGCAACTGCAGAATACGCAGCCGACATCACCGAGATCATCTTTGACTACTTTGAGGAATATTTCAACATGACGTACTCCATATCCAAACTGGGTGCGTTTTGGGGATGTTTGTACTCATGATGACACATTAGGCAGGAGACTGACTGGAACATGAACCTGGGACGTGCACACCACCCTGTTCTTCCATATTTCTCTTTACACTCACTGTAGCGGTACTGTACGGTCGTGGCCACCAGGAGACACACACTCTTTGTTTTGGGTCATAGTTTTGTTGCTGTGCTGCTTGTAAAAGGCTCGAGGCGTCTCTAACATACACCCAGGAATCTGTTGACTTAAAGAAAATTAACACTTTAAAATAAAAGCGTAGAAGATGGAACCAGGTATGTATTGATGAAAGTCCACATTTTTCTTTTCTTTGTTGTGTAAATATTTCAGATAAATCCGGACATGAAACAGTGCAGCTTATCTGCCACCTAACTGTAAAACTGCACTGATCTCAGAGCCACGCGTCTAAACAGAAGTTTGTTCAGATCAAATAATATAAAGTTATAAATAACGTATATCCACTTTATTCTGTTGTGAGTAACGTTCTTTGATCCTAAGTAAGACACATGACCCAGATTTAAACAAAAGGTGAGATTCCCCAGAATCAGAGAACATAACCTCTTTAGCACAGTTTTCTGTTAGAACCATAGAAGGAATATTCCAAAGGAGTCCTAGTACCACGTCACACAATGGCAGAGAAGCTGCCTTATCTTTGGTTCTAGCCAGAGAGAAAATCCTGTGCTAGACTGCATTTTGCCGTCTGCTGTGCTGAGTCCAAGAGGTGCTGACAGTGTTTTACAGTTCTGGAGTTACTGCCGGACAGATGACCCATGCTCAGCAGTTAGAGGTGGTCGTGTTAAAAGCAGGCTTATCAGAACCTCTCTGTCGGCTGTGTGAATCCTGTTTCAGATCTGCCTCATGAAGAGGCAGATAAAGGCCGTAACCGTCCCTTTATCTGATCAGCAGCATCTTTCTGTGAACACATGAACATTTGTTTTTACAGCAGTAGGATCAGGTGTTTGTCTGAAGCAGTGTCATTTACTGACACAGCACTGGAACATCATTTTATTAGTTTATTATTACACCTTTGAGAGAAGTTTTAAAGTTTTACACTCAGTCACTATCTTACAGAATGATTATGGCAGCAGTGCAATAAAACACAATAAGCAGTGTCTTTACTGAACTGTTGGTACTGTTTGATCCAGATAAGATAGCCATCCCTGACTTTGGTACCGGTGCCATGGAGAACTGGGGCCTCATCACCTACAGGGAGACCAACCTGCTGTATGACGAGAACGAGTCATCGTCCGACAACAAGCAGCGCGTGGCCAGCGTTATCGCCCACGAGCTGGTTCACCAGGTACCAGCATGTCAACACTCACTACATCATGTGCTTAGTGTCTTTGTGGAACACAGTTTGAAGGGGCAGGGCAGGATGTTTGGGGCTTTTCCTGACACATTTGTCCATGTGTGTGCATTTACATGATCTCAGCCTGCATTGCAGGTAGAAGGTAACTTTGAAGAGCTCTTTTAAGTACTACCACTCCAGTTACTTTATACTTTAAACACTACGTTTTAGGGGCAAATATTGGCTCTTTACTCTGGTGGTAGATATCTGACCACTGCAGGGTGACAAAACAGTCATATCATCTGGACACCCTGGACAGGTAACCAGTCTATCACAGGGCTACACTTAGAGACAGACAACCAAGCACACTCACATTCACACCTACGGACAATTTACAATCACCAATTAACCTCAGCATGTTTTTGGGACTGTGGGAGGAAGCCGGAGAACCCGGAGAGAACCCACGCTGCACGGGGAGAACATGGAGACTCCACGCAGAAAGATCCCGGGTGTCCTCACCGGGACGCCAACCGGCGATCTTCTAGCTGCGAGGTGCTAACGATGCTAACCACCGAGCCTTATCAGTGTTGCATCAAATTTGTTCTGAGAAGTCTTGGAACACGTTCAGTAGCACCAGCGTCACATGACTCACTGCCACAGTTTGATTTGATCCCAAAATTCAGCATCTGACGGAAGTTGTTTTCTTTTCTTGTGATGATCAACGGGCCCAGCGCTGCTCATTTTGACTTTAATGTTTTACTGAATACATTTAGTTTGTTTGTGTTTAACACAATGAGCCAGAGCTCCGCTGAGTCTGTCGCTAGTGATTAATTACAGTCATGGCAGAAGGACGTGTAAAACTTAAACCTCAGACCTCCATTCACAAACAGTTAAATGTCTTTTATTAAACAGACGCCTCTAACATATGAAAATAACTCAAATCTTTTAAAAGACATTTTATCCAACAATCTAATGATGTTGACTAAATGAGCTGGCTGTGGTAAATAACCAAAACCGTTCACATGACTTCAGCTGGTGTTTGGGTTACTCTGGTGTGTGTAACGGGTACAACTAGCTGTATGTGCAACACCTCATGTTTTAATAGTGTCACAATAATCACATCCAGTTAAGCTCACTTATCTGTTTCTGTTCTGTATGTAGGAACCATAAATGTTTAAAAGCCTTAATGTGCTGTTGTTCAGCCTGTTATATGCCGTCTGAGAACATTTCATTCCATCTTATCAGTCATCTTACATGAATTGTAGATAAGAGGTCTGGGGACAGTCCATAAAGTTTTACGAACTGATCAAAGTTTCAGGAAAGACGAACTAGTCGTGGTTCAGTCTGAGTGATCTACCGCACGCATCATTATTACTCAGGTTCCTCAGGACTCCTGGACGCCTGTTAGAAAGAGAAAACATTATCAGGGAACGTTCACGTCTAAGAAAAGTAAACATTACAAAAAGCCACAGAAAATAAAATCATCCTTCCAGAGATAAATGCACACAGTGACAAGGCAGCTGCACACCTCATGATGTCCTTCAGTTCATTAAACCAACAGCAGACGATGTGATCAGCAAATAATTATCATCCCAACTGAGGAGGAAACATTCTGCCCATGGATTTAGCAACACAGCCTCACTTCTTTTTAAGCACGTTCATGAGCCTTCCGTCCACGTGTTTGTGAGATTGTCTTTTTGTCAAGTCATCAAGGCATCACTGGATCACCTTCAGAGCTTCTGCTGGCGAGCCAAAAGGGAATTACGTGGATTTATGGGCTGTCCTGCATATCTTGGTTTTAATTGAACGCTGCAGATTTCTTTTTTATATAGTGTCAATTCACAATATGAGTCATGTCAGGGCGGCTGAATGTCAGCCTTACAGGATTACGTCATGGACAGAAACCCAACACATGCAGGCAAAGTCTGGGACATGATGCTACCAGAAGCTAAAGGGTTGCTCAGCACTCCAAGCGTCATTCCCACCACACACTGTTTGATCCTCCTGTGTTCTGCTGTGGAGCTCGCAAACCACACTTACCCCTTTTCCACCAAACTGGTTCCAGGTCTGGTTCAGAACCAGAGCCTGACTCAGCACCAGTTCTTTGTGTTTCCACCGCCTAAGCTCCAGCTCCAGGTTCTCAGAACCGGTGATTTTCAGGATGTACTGAATGAGTCCTGGGACACACGGAAGTTCTGCACAAACTGTTGAAACCCGGTCCAACTGTGTCCCAGCAGCAGCACCACAGTGGTGGAGAACAGGACTGTTAGAACTTCAGTATTCAGCTTAGAAATGAGGTGTTCTGGTGACAAACGGACCTCAGCTACACACTGTTTATTCTGCTCATAGAGAAGACCTCATGAGAACACATCACTGGGCTTCATCCTGGACAGATCTGACACCAGAACCTCCTGGTTCACTCTGTTAAAGTCATCTCTGGTCTCACACCGGTCTGAGCACCGCGGCCTCCAGCAGCAGCTAGCGCAGCCTGCTATGTGGGGCGTTCAGGGAACGTCGTAAATTGTAGAGTCTGTGGATAAGAACATGTTCAGCAGGTCAGATGTTTCTCCTGTGACCAGATAGGAAGTGCCAACAAATGAGAAAGTGGGTCACCCCGGTAACAACGTCCGTCTGGAGTCCTGTGTGGACTCTGTGTGGCGCCAGCGCTGTTCGGTAAACGGCTGCATATGCAGTGATGTACGGTTCTGACTGGCCTCCTGGCTGATGAAAAAGCATCCGGTTCTTTGGAGGGGCCAGATTTGAACCAACTAAGCTAAGCAACTAAGCAGCACTGGGTTCTTCTTGGTAGAAAACGGGTTTCAGTGCAGCAGTAGGACAGAGACTCTCGATGGCGGCCTGGTAAAACCTGACCAGCAGGTGATGATGAGGAAGGTGAACCTGCTTCAGTTTTCTGAGGAAGTACAGTCTTCACTGGGCTTTTCCCACCAGATGGACAATGTGTGCTGACCAGGGCAGATCAGCTGTGATGTGAACTCTCAGGTTGAAGCAGCCATCCCGTTTTCATCTTCTGAAGTCTGCTATGATGTCTATAGTTCTACAGTTTCATTCAGCAGAAGCTTCGATCCAAAGCGACGTACATCTGAGAGCAGATACAACACCAGGAGAGAACTATCTGGATAAGAACCATAGAACAAGTTCAAGTGTGATTTCTTTGGCTTTTGATGTATTCAAGTCCAGGTTGTTATGGGAACACCACAGAGGTGTTGGATCTCCTCCCTGTAGGGTGCCTCACTGTTGTCCTGTATCAGACCTACAGCAGCTGTGTTCTTGGGGTGGGTGGGTGAGCAGTCATGGGTTCAGAGAGGAAAGGACTTCGGTAACACCCTGAGGTGAGTTCGGGTTAGCCAGCCCTGACCCTCTGTGGCCTGTTTGTCATTTGTTCCAGTTTCTGTAAATGCACACATTTGGGCTTATGTGGTGTTACAGGGACGCTCTGACTGGCCTGTAAGACTCCCATCCCCTCCTGCCTCCATCATGAATGAGCAGCAGTCAGTACAACAGGATTATGCTGCTGTGCTGATGGACGTAGTCCTGAGGAAGGGTGCACAATCAGACCCTTCATAAACATGGAGGAACTGTTTACTGATATCCATCTACAACAGGAGATCAGAAAATATGACGGATCTTCATAACTATGATAAAACTGGAAATGAAGGCCTGTTATTAATGTCATGGCCACATTTTCCAAATAGGCATTCATACAGGAGACTTTAGAGGGCTCATAGGTAACCATCTAGCAGGTTCATTCATCATCCTGTTGTCTTTGTCTGGGACCCTGAAAACCAATGTCAGCTGTTCCTTTCCAGTGGTTTGGGAACATTGTAACCATGGATTGGTGGGATGACCTCTGGCTAAATGAGGGCTTTGCCAGTTTTTTCGAGTACGTCGGTGTGGAGAAAGCGAGACCTGACTGGGGCATGGTGAGTTCTCTGTTCAGCACTCAGCAAACACCAAACTGTTGGTACCAGTCAATTTGAAATCTCAGCACCCTGAAACTTGCCTTGGTCATACAGCGAGACATCATGATTGTCAATGACGTGCTTCCTGTCATGGTGGATGACGCCCTCATTTCCTCTCACCCCATCATTGTGAATGTGTCCACCCCAGCAGAAATCACTTCTGTGTTTGATGCCATCTCGTACAGCAAGGTACGTCACAAGCTTCAGTCTAAGGTTCAGAAAACCAGGCGTTTTGTTAGAACAATGCTTTTTTAAAAAAAACTTTTCATACAAGCAAGACACAGAAGAAATGTACGACTAATGATGAAAGAAGATGCTGCTTGTAATGAAAACTGTTGAACCTTTTCCAGGGAGCTTCCATTCTGAGGATGCTGGAGGACTGGATGGGTAAAGACATGTTCAGAGACGGCTGTCGAGTAAGTCAGACGAGCAGCGTCCTGACACATATTGAACAACGGGTTCAGTTTCCAACATCTTATCAGCTACGTGATCATAAACTTCTTTTTCTTTTTTCACCAGAAATATTTGAAAGACTACTACTTCAAGAATGCCAAAACAGCCAACTTCTGGGAGTCACTTGCCAGTGTATGTTCGTCCTCTTTCAGCTGTGTCCTCCTGTCTGTGCCGGGTTAAAACACAAATACAAAAAGTATAATATGTTGGGAAAGAAGGCACAGTGGCTTTCTTCTGTTTGTGTAGATAATGGTATCGGATCTGTTCCTGTTCCCAGAGGACCGATGGTCTCATGGCCTGGCTGTCACATGATCTGGTTGCCAACCAAACGTGACTAGATGTGTTAATCAGTGGGCTTTAGGCTACATCCATAATAAACGCAGCGGCGTTACTGCCACCCACAGTACTCTGGCTTTTTAGGACTTTTGGGAAAACGTAGCATGTCCTGACTCCATCTTTGCACTCAACATGAAATTAATATCCTTTTTGAACATCTCACTTTAAGAAAAAACTCAAATACTTTATTTTCAAACATATTTTCCAAAATGCTGAACGCTTGCTCGCACTTTGTCCGTGAAGTTCTGTGAAGAGTGACCGGTTCCTCCTGTCTGCATCCAGGTCAGCGGGCTGCCAGTGGCTGACGTCATGGACACATGGACCAAACAGATGGGTTATCCTGTGCTGGACCTGTCTGTCTCTGAGACAAATGCCAGGCTCAGACAAACGCGTTTCCTCCTCGACCCTAAAGCTGATGCCAACCAACCTCCCTCTGCTCTCGGGTAAGGGATGCATCCTCATACAATGAGAAAAAAGAAAGCAGGAACGGCCTCCACTCCACCTATTCCAGTTTGGACTTGTTACCAAAACAAACAGATTCTGTCCTTGTGGTCCTTGTCATTAAGAACCTGAAGGGCTATTGTGTTTTGACTGTTATGTGTTTAAGAGAGTGTTCAGTTCAAGAGGACCCAACACAAGGCAGGCAGGCCATCTGCATGAATGTCAGCTAGTGAACCTGGAACATCACGGACCAACACCGTAAGAGTAATGACTTTATTTGGATAGCATCTTCTGAAAACAAAGTTACGGTGCAGGTCAGGAATCCAGGAGAAAAGTCGACAAGAAGAGTCCAACAAAGGTTCAGCCCCACAAAGCGATGGCTGCTATAAGCAGGGGAACCAGACCACAAGTTGACTGGAGAACAGAACCACTAAACAGTTCTGGCCACAGCACGGCTTACTGGGAGACCACTCTGGAGAGCGGCTTGTCGGCAGGCGGCTAGTGACGGAACTGGACTTCCATGTTTTAAAAATGTTTCAGTTTCATTTCTCAGAAATCGGGCTGCATGGAGATCCAGCGTTTAGAAGGTTCTGGGTTTGAATCTTGACCCGGGATCTTCCTGCGTGGAGTCTCCATGTTCTCCCCGTGCAGCGTGGGTTCTCTCCGGGTTCTCCGGCTTCCTCCCACAGTCCAGAAACATGCTGAGGTTAATTGGTGATTGTAAATTGTCCGTAGGTGTGAATGTGAGTGTGCTTGGTTGTCTGTCTCTAAGTGTAGCCCTGTGATAGACTGGTTACCTGTCCAGGTGAACCTGCCTTCACCCTGAGTCAGCTGGGATAGATTCCGCCCCCCATGACCCTAGTGAGGACTAAGGTGCAGAGATGATGGATGGATGGACTTCTGAGTAATGACATTACTCTGTTGGTGCAGAACTAAATACTGCAGTGTCCATGTGTCTACAGAGAACTGAGTCGCCCCAGACGTTATCGGTTCTACTCTGAGTGGCTGATTTTACGATACTCCTCGTGCTTCCAGCTGCTGTTGGGGAAGCAGGAATTCTGTACCATGACCGAGGTTGGATGCACAGTTGGTGACCTCCCTTCTTTGTTCCAGGTACAAGTGGACAATTCCAGTGAAATTTCAGACTGTGCAGAGCGACAGGAAGTGGTTGTCTATGTTTGACAAGAGCAGCGCAGGTAGTATGGGTTAGGGTTCATTTTCATATTACAGATGTTAGTTTATGCTTTTATAAAGATGCTTATTCTGATTGCATTGACTTTCAGATCATGTCATCAGTGACTATTCCCTGTCAAAGGACGGGCTACTGAAGGTCAACGATGATCACATGGGATTCTACAGAGTGAACCACGACGACCACATGTGGAATGTTATTAGTGAGCAGCTTCAAACCAACCACTCGGTACAGTTGTCCTCACGGTGCACACGACCGACCACATCCTGTGTAGCGCATGGCTCGTCTGTGTTTGTGACTGGTGTTCAGGGTGTTCATGCATTCTTGTAAACATAAATCTTGTTCTCACAGCATTATGACCTGCAGGTATTACACATTCATTATTATTAGCTTGTGAAAGCAGTGGTCCCGGTACCGCTGGACCGCTGTAAGAACACGTCTCAGCTGTTGCACTATACTATATGTCAGAACCTGCTGAGTAAACAGTAAATGTCTTTTGGCCGTTTTCACCTTAATTAGCCACCGACAAGCTTCTGGTTGCTCTTTGACCTCGTCTTGACAGAACTGGTGCAGTTCAACTAAACTTGCTGGCTTGTTGACACAAACTTGTTTCTGCACCACAGCCCACCGGTTCTGGACGGGCTTCAGTTAGAACTTTGGGAAGCTCGCTGAAGGCCTCACCTTCTCTCCTCCAAACATATTTCTGGTCATTGTAGCCAAATAGCTCCATTTTTGTTCCATCTGACTGCAGAGATTTCCTCCAAAGCGTCTTTCCTTTGTCCATGTGATCAGCAGCAGACTTCACTGAACCTTTCGAACACTGAACCGACTGAATCAAGCAGATTCTGTCGCACTTCCTGTGATCTCCCAAAGTTTGTTTTATGTCACAATGACGTGTGTGTTTCAATGATTCAAGAAAATAGAATAGAATAGATCTTTATTGTCATTGTTAACAAAAGGCAGTTTAGCAGCTCTTTGAATGAGCAGGACAAATACAACAGAAGAGCACAGTCATTACACAAAGTAGAGACAAAAAATACCAAATAAAAATAAGAGAAGCCGTATAAAAGATAAAGCTGCCCTGCAACGGAGTCATAAAGGAGCAGACATGAACCATGAAGCAGGACATGAGTTAAGAGCTGCAGGACGTCCATGATCTGCTGCTCTGTGCACATGGATGTAAACTTTTCTTCACAACCTTTAGTTTAAGTGACACCAGGTCGGCCGACCCACGCTCCAGCCTTCAGGGTCCACTTTGGGTCTGTTGACTCTGTTTTCTTTCTTCAACAGGTGCTCGATGCAGCAGACCGTACGAGCTACATCGATGATGTTTTTGCTCTTGCAAGGTAAGAATCCTCCCAAAGTATGAACATTCATGCCACTGGTCATACACACACTGAGATGGTCTCCTTTCACGGTCCAGGGCTGGCCTCATAGACTACGGTAACGCCTTCAACCTCACTAAATATCTAACAAAGGAGTCTGACTACATCGTCTGGGATCGGGTGGCTTCTTCTATCGCTTATGTTCGAGACATGCTGTCTGGGAAAGCTGATCTGTACCCAAAGTTTCAGGTGAGTAGGAGGCTGAGCCATGCATGGGTTGAGCTCATTTAACATTTAGAGTGAAAGATTTTGGTTGTCTTTTGTCATATATTTGTAATAGATATGCACTGCTCTGTATATCTGTTACAAATATGTGCTAAACATGTTGGAAGGTGCCCAACAGAACTCTGTATGTAACCGTATAACCATTCACCACAGATCAGGAACCAGGTCTGTTCTCTGTACCACACTCTGTGTGATTCCTTCAGCTGGAGCTGCTCTGTGTGCAGCACTGTGCTGTTACAAAGCTCCTGATGTCTGTATTCACGTCTTCATCACTGAGCGGCTGCTCGTCTGTTCAGCAATGACATCAGGCTGCCTCAGGAATTACATCCAAAACAGAGAACAAGCCAGAGACGCGAGCTATACACGATTACCTGCTGTAAAACTACAAGTCTAATTATTGTAGTCATAATCAGCAGTGGTGCCACAGAGGTGTCTTCCTCCCAGCACAGAGATGGAGCGGGTTGCCACCGTTGGGGTTCCAGTGGTAATTAACATGATGCTGCTTCTTTTCTCTAGATGCTGTTTCGTGACCATGTTAAAGTAATCTCAACCCAGCTCGGATGGAGTGATGTGGGAGCGCAAACAGACAGGTACAGTGCATGCTTCTGTGTCTGACCCTGGTGGGTTTTACATTTCCATTAAGAACACCTGGATCCCTGTGCAGTGAGCAGATCGTCTGATGGATCGGGAGGTTTATGCCCCGTTAAACATTGTTCAAAAGATGAGTGTCTCTAAGAAGACATTTCAGCTGTTTGTTCACAGTAAAAGTTTGTTTTTCATCATTTGTGAGCGAGATGGTAGAAGGTAGACAAACGTTCAGGCCTTGGCTTCACGGCGACGATGCGCTGAGCGGTCGGTGACTGTTGAGTGTTTGGCAGGTTACTGAGGGAGACTGTGCTCAGCATCGCCTGTCAGATGGAGGATCCAGACGCTCTGCGTCAAGCCTCCCACATCTTTGACCAGTGGATTAATGGAGAACTCAGGTAGGCTCTTTGGTGTCTCTAAAACTAAACGTGTTTATAGATGATGTGTAGTCAGTGTGAAGAATTCTAGCATTTTATTTGACAGCTCTCCAGCTGACGTGTTGACTTTTCCATGTGCAGCAGCGTCGCCGTGAACCTGAGACTGCTGGTGTACAGGTACGGCATGAAGAACTCAGGAACTGAAGAAAAGTGGAACACAATGTTTGAACGGTACAAAACCTCTTCTTTGGCTCAAGAGAAGGACAAGCTGCTGTATGGACTGGCATCCGTGGAGAACGTGGACCTTCTCTACAAGTAATGAACATTTGTCCTAAATGACTTGTCTCATAGGCAAACAGGTTTTCTTGCAGTGACAGTCTGTCAGATGGTTTTTCACTCTCAGCTCAGATTAGGAGTCACATTCATGACATGATGTTCATTGTAGTTAAAAACAATCAACCTGGAGAACTCTTAGGTTGGAATACTTCATTATATGTATATATGTATAACGGGGTGAGCATAGGACCATCTTCTGTGTCTGGACTTACATTCTAACCTAGTGCAGTGTGAAAGTCATTGTGCGGAGTGGATGTCTTATGAAATGTCCTCGTGTCCACCAGGCTGCTGGAGGCTACCAAAGATGAGTCTGTAGTGAAGAGTCAAGATTTGTTCACTGTGGTGCGGTACGTGTCCTACAACTCCCTGGGTCAAAGCATGGCCTGGGACTGGACCACGCTGAACTGGGACTACCTGGTCAACAGGTTAGTGCAACAAGGCAGCAGCAACCACACAGTGCCGTGTGCTCACAAGTCCAGGAGGCCGGGAAATGTTAGATAAGACTCATCTGCTGTCATGTTGTGATCTATACCTTCAAATGAAACCTCATTTCACACAAGCTCAAAGCTTCATCCCAGTCCAAAGCTTTCAGACTAGCATACATCTTCATAGCTCTGGCACTACAGGACAAACACGTATCTGCCCTCTGACGCCCCCTAATGACACGATGATAACAAATATAACACCTGGTTTTCTCTTAAATAATATGTCATACTGCTATACTTTGATTCAGTCCCGGGCTCCTCTACATGCCCACGTGTCCTTTGGAGAGAAATTCAACCCAAAGCTGGCCCTGGTGGCAGGCGAGCATCTCACAGCCTCACCAAGTCAAGTAACCGGATCATGTTTGTGATCTGACTGGTTTCTCTCTGCTGGTCAGAACCTCTCTCATGTGGTGTAACACTGGCATCCAAAATCGTGTTTTTTCCTTGGATGGCATTCACCTCTGGCTCTGCATGTCCCACAGAGCTCTGTGCTGCTGTGGCTTAGACACAGCAGCACATCACCCTTTTCTGGATATTTGCATACAACTGATGCATTTCTTTTTGCAACTAAATCCTACTTCTTACTGTCTCTTCTGGTTCCTTGCTCATTTTTGTGCACATGTGAAGCCTGCAAGGCTGAAGAGCCTTTAGTGTGCTCATAGGAATTAGTGAGCAGTTAGAGGTAGAAGAGGCAGGAGGCTGGTTGAGGAACTGGAGGCAAAGCACACGAGTTACAACAGAGCTCATAGTAAATGCCAGACAATGTCTGTTGAGGTTACTGAGTTAATGGTCTAGCAGAGAATGCCCCCTCAAACCAACTATGGGAGTCTTTCAGAGCCAACTTGACAGCCAGGAGCTCACCATTAGCTATGCCACAGTTTCTCTGACAGCTGAGAGGCTCCAGGGCATGAAGCTTGTTGTCAAAGGGTGAGTGTTGGACAGCTCAAGCTGACCCCCGTATCAGAGGCATCCATCTCCATGAAGAACGCCAGCGTAAGGGCAGCCTGAGTAAGGATGGGGGCGAAAACAAAGCAGTTCTTCAGTTCTTGGAAGGATGGGAACACTGACAGGTGACAAACAGTAGGTTGGCTCCCCAGTGCTCCCCCTGGTCCTGTTGGACAGGTGTAGCTTCCTGCTCTGTAGCTAGGCCTGAACTAGTTGTTTTGGTTTTGGTTCAGGAGTTGTTGCAGAGGTTGGGACCAGAGGAGAACCGGGATGGAGAAGAATAGCAGCTGGAGATCTGGCTGGGAAGAAAAGGGGCTTGGCTCTCCTCTCGAGGCAGCGAGAGTGATATCGGCTGGTCCAGGCTGCAGGGGTCAGCTTGCAAATGGCAAGCTCGGCCTTCACTAAGTTGTTGAGTGCTCTCAGCGACACTCTTTAGGGCCTTGTTCCATCCACTCGAAGCCACCAGGGTGCAGAATTCAATGGTGAACTCAGCCACAAGGTCGGGTCCCTGTTGGAGGGAGAGGAGGCAACGTTCTGGGTCCTTGTCCCGACTGGACAGTCAGATACCGTCCTCATCCTGCAACAATCTGACTGGATCTAGCTCAGCTTCTGGGTATTTCTGGCAAACTGCATTCTACTTGTTGGGAGATGCTAAACGTTTTCCTGCTTTCCCTGTTTTGATTGACTGCTTTTTGTTCCCATCTCTTCAGCCTTGTGTGTCACTGTCTTTGTCGGCTTACCGGCCTCTTCCCTTGTCACCGGATTCCCTTCACCTCGTGTTATTCTTGAGTTTTTTGGCTTTTTTTCCTTGTCTTTGGATTTGTGCCTGTTCAGCAGCCTTAAGCTTTTCCATCATGGCTTGTTCCACCGTGAGCGTCACTATTTGCCCCACCAGCCTGTGGTCCTCTTTCCAGATCCACACCCAACAAGGGCAGCAAATGCAGATTTTCAAAATAAATCCTGTCTGTGTGTTAACAGGTACACCATCAACGACAGGAATCTTGGGCGCCTCCTGACTCAAATCAGCACCACCTACAACACGGAGCTCCAGCTGTGGAAGGTTAGCGCCGGCCTTTGCTTGTGACTTTGTACCTGGACTTTTGTCTTTTTAGCTCATTAATTTTTGACTTAGTTTTAGCACTTTTGCTTCTTTTGCTTTGCCAAAGAGCAGGTAGGTAGGAAATGTCTTTACAGGGACCTACATAGTTCTTATTTGGAGGAATAAACATTCCAAAGAATTGTGGTCAGATTTGTTTGTTTCAGCTGCAGCTTTCACTGCAGGGAGAATGAGCAGATAAACTGCACTGGTCTTACAAGAGCATTTATAAATGATCTGAAGATCCTCCAAAGCGTCTATAAAACTAGGGCATCTTAAACAATTAAAATATTGGGAAACAGTTCTTTTTAAATAATAATTCAAATCGGAAGCTTTCATGTTTTCTATTAAAGTAAAAATATTTCAAGCCTTTTTAAAAAGGCAAATTATTCTTGTTCTTGTTTGAGTCACAGTCCTGTTACTGCAGGAGGACATGGATTTTGCTACCGGTGTGGACTGAGAAGCTGCTACAGACGTTTAAATGGTGCTGATGTGACCGTGTTGTAACCCACCAGAGTCCCGTATTTATCAGTGACACCTCAGACCCAGAAGCTGCAGATGTAAAACTTTGTTGGGCTTTGGATTGAGCGGAGGCTGGCAGTATGTGTTCAGGCTCTTTGAAACTCATGTTGCCATGCTGTTTGTCAGATGGAGCATTTCTTCAGCCGAACACCGGATGCTGGTGCCGGGGAGATGCCCAGGCAGCAGGCGCTGGAGACGGTGAGGAACAACATCGAATGGCTGAGACAGAACGAGGACGAGATCAGACAGTGGTTGGAGAACAACACCGTCTGAAACCCTTCAGGGATACGGACATCCTGTGTGTGTGTGTGTGTGTGTGTGTGTGTGTGTGTGTGTACATCCATCATCTCTACACCTTAATCCTCACCAGGGGGCGGAGTCTATCCCAGCTGACTCAGGGTGAAGGCAGGTTCACCTGGACAGGTAACCAGTCTATCACAGGGCTACATATATATACATACCTGTGATAGACTGGTTATATACATATTTGTATATATATATAGACTCACTACAGCCACTCAGTCTATTAAATCACTCGATCAAATGCGAACTTCATGGCGTTCCGTCAATAGTCAAAAAGACTGTATTTAATGGAAACACTCCTGCTTGCTATTTAAGCTGCTTTACACCACAGCTGTGATCTTTTCAGCTCGTTTGAACCGTGCCACTTGATTAGGACGGTTTTCTGCATCTACAAAACTGATCATTAAGTTTCTCTATGTATGTTTTTGACCCATCAGATTTTGTCATATTTCCAGAAGACCTTTAATAAATCTATGAAAGAACCACAAGGCGTGATTGTTTTCTGTGACAGAGATGTGTGGCCTTCAGTGACTCCATCATAGCAGTTCAGAGTTCGAGGAGTCACTCCAGACGTCCACGGTACACATGGTCCAGGTACTGTTAGTTCTGTTTGGAGAACCTTTTGAAACACGTTCTGCTTACATTAGGCTGTCTACCAGTACTCTGGTTTTTGTGGTGCAGCTTGTTCTACCTGATGCTTCGTCAGTTATAAAGTTGAACATAAAGTTCAAGTGTTTCATATTAAAGAGTCCTTTTATTCTCATGATGATTGTGGATAATGTTTGGTGAAAACGGTCCATCAACATGGATTCCCTTGCTTTCTGTTCCACTGGGAACTGGGCCATGTGCAGAACCCTGAAGTGTGGGTACATGTACACTTTAGTACCTTAAAGGTTCACCTGTAAGCCTCTCTTATAGGAAGTGAAGCGATTCCAGGTAAGGCAGCAGCTCGCTCAGTTCCTCCAGCCTACAGGTGGAGCCCATAATGAAAAATAACAAGTGTGTTCTTTGCTCTATTTGGGGAACCACATAAACCTCCAGAGTGCTGCTCCATGAAGCCAGCCGGACACCTCCAGGCTTCCTTTGTGTGAGTCGGCTCCACAGTCAGAGATCACAGGTACCAGGAAGGTGGTTCAACTTTAACGCATCATGTGACTCTTCTGCACAAGATGAAGCGATCATGTGTCACAAGCTTCAGCCAAGAGGTCGTTTCAGACGAGAACAACAAGAAAAATTAATGTTTATCCCCGTTAGAAGCGTGTGACTGCAAATGATGCAAGACAGGAATGCTGGTAGAAAACTGATAATCATCCATCCATCCATCATCTCTACACCTTAGTCCTCACTAGGGTCATGGGGGGCGGAGTCTATCCCAGCTGACTCAGGGTGAAGGCAGGTTCACCTGGACAGGTAACCAGTCTATCACAGGGCTACACTTAGAGACAGACAACCAAGCACACTCACATTCACACCTACGGACAATTTACAATCACCAATTAACCTCAGCATGTTTCTGGACTGTGGGAGGAAGCCGGAGAACCCGGAGAGAACCCACGCTGCACGGGGAGTGTTGTGGAAATTCTGTAAGAGGTTGATGTAGGATGCGGAGCCCGACACAGAGACACTTGGGAGACTCAGATGACTTAAGATGAAATAAGGTTTACTGATGTATCAGGAGAAGTGACAGCAGCAGCATCAGTTCTAAAGATCCATCTCACATCTTCCTTCAGTGGGAACCACGTCCAGATTTACAGGAGAAAGGGAAACAAAGATAAGCTGACACCTGGGTACAGTCTGGCCCTGAGAGGTGCAGGCTGTCCTGCCTGTCCTCCTACAACCTGGTTTAGGTGAGGTCAAGAATCTAGAAGTTACAGAGCACACATCTGCTCCAGGAGGTCCATCAGGGTTCAACATCTTCTCTAGAAGATTAACCCAAAATAAGAAAAGTAATTTTCCTCCACAAATCGCTCCTTGTTGATGGTAAGATCAAGCCAACAGAATCACTAGTTTAAAGGGAAAATGGCTGCTGGTGGTGAGGTCCTCATCATGGACCCTGTAGCCACACGTTTGTGGGAAAAACATCAACTTGAACACACTTATGCGTAGCCTTCTATACGGTATGAGAGTCGGCCTTCTTGTTATGTTTTCACTTGTTCTCAGTTCAACGCTGCGGCTGCAGATGAAGCAACAGAACCAGAATCCAGCTCAGCAACATGTTCATCTGAAGCATGTACAGCTGCAGTCACACCTCAGTGTTTGAATAATGTTGAACTGTTGGAATCCAGTCTAAACGCTGCAGCTGCGTCACTTTTAGTCTGTACGAAGCGTTTCAGATACCAGTATATTAATGTTATGTACCCTGATCTCTGTCTGGGGCCAGTTGTTGTCGAGCCCAGTTACACAAAGAAAGCCTGGACAGGTCGAACATGCTTCATGTACAGCTTCAGGTGTGGAGCAGAGGGCTCCTGTATGTTTAGGTGAACAGCAAACCTGCCTGTACTGTCTGGTACGACAATAAAGCTTTGACATGTTAGGAACACGAGATGTTTGAGGAGAAACTGATGATATGACCCTGAAATAGAAGATGTTCTTCACTCCCTGCGTTTGTCTTCACTGTCAACCGTCACTGAAGATGGAAAAGCCCAAAAAATACATCTTTAAAACAAAAACAGAAAGCTTTATGCAATAGCGACAAAAACACACACCGACAACGTAGCAACGTTAAAAGTTTAATTCTGTAACAGACTCCTTAAAGGAGAAGTTCTACAACACGGTGGAGAGTCAGTGTCTGGAAGAGTTCCTCTGGATGTGGAGCTCAGAGGTAGGAGTGAAAGGTAACGCTGGTTCCAAGCTTCTCTGCAGCACACGTTGGTGATGGTCCCAGGTGGTCACTGGAGATAAAACCGGTTAAAATGTCCACTTTATTCTTTCTTCTTGTAGTCCTCTAGGTGGGCCAGGATCCATCCAGAGGGCCCCAGAATGGCCAGGGAGAACATGGCCATCCCCACCACCGTTTCCTGAACAGAGAAGGCATGGGTCAGCATCAGACTGGATCGGTTCATAGCAACGGATCCTGACTTATTAAACCCACTTTGACTTATTTCTTATCCTTTTCACAGGTTTCAGTATCATTTAAAATTGTATATTTTAATACGTGACCTTTTGTTTCCATTTCGCACTGAGCTGCGTCATTCAGTCACATTAATAAAAGTCTTTTCACACTTTTACATGAAACCTGCACATGAAGCACAGACTGACCGGAGCAGTAATGGGAGGACGAGGCTCCCAGTTAGTTACTGAAGGTCACCCAGTCAGCTTTAGAGAAGAGCTCCGGACTTCTTAGTGAAGACGACAGACCAGAGACTGGTTCTGTCTGTATGTACCAGAACTATCACAGCACGGTGACACTGAACCACTCGGACCTGACGCTGATTCAGGGAGCATCAACGCAGCAGCATGCTAACGTTAGCTCGGTCAGTAGCAGCATGCTAACGTTAGCTCGGTCAGTAGCAGCATGCTAACGTTAGCTCGGTCAGTAGCAGCATGCTAACGTTAGCTCGGTGGTAGTTTGGGCCAAGCCTGCTGAATAAACGAAGCAGAACTACTACTAAATCAACCTACCGCGCATGTACAGACTGATATTCAGCTACCGAAGCTAAGCTAACCCACCTGCTCCAACAGGAGAACACCTAAACCTCTGACTGTACTGGTTGTGCCCTCGTCAGTCAAGGACAGCCGCTAGCCTTTAGCTTGTGCTGTTTCCCAGACACAGCACCTACCATGGGGCCGATCTTCTCCTTCGCAGGTCTGGTGTAGAGATGAGCCCGCTGCGGGACGCTGAGTCCCCGCAGGACAGGAGCCGCACGGCCCGCGATGGTCCTCAGAAACGCCGGCATGGTTCTGGAGCTGCGAACTGAAGTCTGCTCGAGTGATAAGCTGCTGTCATATGAAAAGGAAGCGCTGACATGTAAAGGTCGTCTGTCTTTATCGCCCAACGAAGGTGGTCAGCCAGCCGCACAGCGCCACCTGCTGTCCTGGCGGTGATGTTCATGGAGGTCTGATGAGCTGAAGGACGGTGTGTTCACTCCAGAAATACTTTACTTAACTATGTATATCACTGTTGTGCCCTCCATCCCCGCTGTAGTTTAGATGGTGGTGGTGTGTTCCTGCTGCCACAGGACGTCTGGTCCTCAACGCTTCAGTCTGCTGCTGTTCACAGGATCCATCACTTTGAAGCTGAATTCAGACTGCATGGTTTGCTTCTCATCTCAAATGCTTTCCTGAAAGACATTCTGATAAACTGTTTTCATAACTGGGCTGCAAGGTGGCGCAGTTGTTAGCACCGTGGCCTCACAGCTAGAAGGTCGCCGGTTGGCGTCCCGGTGAGGACACCCGGGATCTTCCTGCGTGGAGTCTCCATGTTCTCCCCGTGCAGCGTGGGTTCTCTCCGGGTTCTCCGGCTTCCTCCCACAGTCCAGAAACATGCTGAGGTTAATTGGTGATTGTAAATTGTCCGTAGGTGTGAATGTGAGTGTGCTTGGTTGTCTGTCTCTAAGTGTAGCCCTGTGATAGACTGGTTACCTGTCCAGGTGAACCTGCCTTCACCCTCAGTCAGCTGGGATAAGCTCCGCCCCCCATGACCCTGGTGAGGATTAAGGTGTAGAGATGATGGATGGATGGTTTAGTCTGAACAGGTTCCTGTAGTTTATTGTTCCTCCTGGACTTGTGTAGTTCCTGTGGTCCCTCTGGTACCATTCTGATCCCGGTCCTCTGTGTCTGCACCGAGGTCTTCGTATTAGCCGTGACATATAGATCATCATGACAGGAAGAGGAGCTCTATAAAAGCTCTGTGGTGAGTTATGGTTGTTGATGACAGTTCTTAATGTCCTGATACAGAATCGATCACACTGTGCTGCATGACGACACACCAAGTCACCGTAGTCAAGAACTTTTAAAGTTGGCAGCAAGATCTCAGCAGAAACGGGACTTATGTAGAATTAAACCTTAACTTTAATCACAGCAAAGCTCCAAAGTTTCCAACCTGCAGGGGGCAGTGTGCTGCAAACGCACGTATGCCACACTGAACGAGAGAAGTTTGTAATAATAATAATAATAATAAAAATAACTGATTCGATTTATGTAGCGCTTTTCTTACTGCATGCACTATCAGTCATTCATTCACACACGTTCATCCTGGTGGTGGTACAGCTGCCCCGGGGCAGACTGACAGAGGCCTGGCTGCCATCCTGCCCTCCGACCACCACCTCAACAATCCATCCATACGCGTTCAGGCAGGTGGTGGAGTGTGTTGCCCAAGGACACAACGACCATGACACAGGTTACAGGCGGAATCGAACCACCGACCCTCTGATATTGGCTGACCCGCTGTACCACCTGAGCCACAGCCGCCCAATTGTATTGTATTGTTTAGACTGCTGACAACACGCTCGTCTTGGTGAAGAATCTTCTTTTAAAATTATGGTGAAGCAACTATTTACTGAGTCCTGTACCTGCTTTTACTGTATTTTATCTTCAAAGCCTTTTATTGTCACGTTTTGTTTGTGTATTGTTTTTTATGGATGTGTTGTATTTTCTGCTCTGTGCTGCCTCTTGGCCAGGTCGTTATCGTAAATGAGAATCTGTTCTCAATTAACCTACCTGGTTAAATAAAGGAAAAATAAATAAATAAATAAGAGGAACCTTGTTGTCTTGTATTACTGCTGACACAGAAGAAGAAGAGACGGTGGTCGACTCGTCCGATAAATCGTAGGAGGCCACATCAGCCGTTCCTCTTCTTTGTTGAGTGTCGCCACAAATTCACACCACGAACTGCTCGTCACACGGTGACCACGGTGACCACGGTCACCACGGTGACCACGGTGGTCGCTGGTGACGACTCTATAAATGTCTGTATAACTCCTCCCACCAGGAGCTCCTGTTCGTCCGCCATGTTTTCTGTCTGCTTTGTTAGAAATCTTCGGAGTTGTGCGACACAGAATTCGTCCGTTTGAAAAGGACAGCGCGAGGGCAGGGCCGTAGCCATCCATCCATCCATCCATTTTCTATACACCGCTTAATCCTCACTAGGGTCGCGGGGGGGCTGGAGTCTATCCCAGCTGACTTAGGGTGAAGGCAGGGGACACCCTGGACAGGTCGCCAGTCCATCGCAGGGCCACACTTAGAGACAGACAACCAAGCACACTCACATTCACACCTACGGACAATTTACAATCACCAATTAACCTCAGCATGTTTCTGGACTGTGGGAGGAAGCCGGAGAACCCGGAGAGAACCCACGCTGCACGGGGAGAACATGGAGACTCCACGCAGGAAGATCCCGGGTGTCCTCACCGGGACGCCAACCAGCAACCTTCTTGCTGCGAGGCAACAGTGCTACCCACTGCGCCACCTTGCAGCCCCGGGCCGTAGCCAGACTTTAGAAAATACTGAGGGCTGGACCTCGGTTTCCTCAATGGTAGCTGCGGCCATGCTCGAGGGGGCGTGGCTGCTAAAATCACGTAATTGGTCCATGCACGGACCTCACGGAGGCGTCAAGCATAAACCTGGCTTTAGAGTCATGAAGGAAACCTCTCGTGCTCTGACTCAGCTGTCCCTCCACCCACTCCTCCCACCGGCTGAAGCTGAAACTCCCCCAGATCCAGCCTGTGGAACCACCTCTACATGTTGTGTTGGTGTAGTAATGCTGCAGGGTCATGGTGGAAATGTCCAGCCAGATTTAAATGGAGGGGTCTTGAACTACACACTGCCCTACCCCGGGGCTTTGGGGTTCAGATGCCTTCTCGGCTAGCTGGGGGTCCAGACTTGAATATGCCCAGAGTTTATTCTGTGAGAGAGTCTTCAGCTACTGTGGTTCTGACTCTAAACCAGTCTTGTAATGTGGAGCCTTACTGGTCAGAAACCAGCTGGCAGGCAGCAGGCATCTCCACGTGAGGCTAATCCTCTGTGGTGGAGCCGTGTGCCTCCTGAGGACGGAGGTATGTGATAATCCCATACGCCCTCCTTCCCTGCCCTGCACCCCAACAGCACCCTACAGGACCAGGTTTCTGCTCTCTAGTCTTCTCTCTGATCAAGGATCTAAACAAACCTAGAGACACTTGCTGTTCACTTTAAGTGTACTTTTTGTTGTTTTCTGACATCTTCAGAAATGGGAATTGGATCTGGACTTAATATTTCAGATGACGTTGCCCCGTATGGGGGCAAAAGTGCCTTTACCCAACTGGAGCACAACATAGTGGCCGGATACCTTATTACTGCAGGTAATCACATCTGACAGCCAGTCATGTCGCTGATATGTCTCTGCTTTGTGTTCTTAGTGGACAGCATTGTCTGCTGCTGCTGCTGTTGCATCCAGTCAGTGTGTCCACACGACCAGCCAGCAGCTGAGCTCAGACTGCCAACAGTGATGCTAAAGGCGGTTCTGAAATTCAGAGAACTGCTGTGGGACTAACAGGACCTGCAGGTATAGACGCTGGGTTTCATTGTTGTGTTTACTTGCCAGTGACAAGCTGCTGGTCTTTGTGTTCTGTTATACGGTCAGTGTGGTGCACATGTCCGACCACCTACACACCACATGAAACAGAACAGTGAGAACTCAAATAAATCTGTAATTAAGGAGGTTAGTAAAGGCAACCACTGCAACACACACACACACACACACACACACACACACACACACACACACATAAAACACCGGGCATTAAACAGTCAGTGTTGCATAAGCAGACTTTAAGTCAACTAATATGTTTTGTTCTAAATCTGTTCTGGGCTCCCGAACACAGTTCCATCAGTCTTCAGAGGGAGTTTCTGATTTCTAGGACATGACCAGAGACTTTCACCACCAGCGTTGTTCAGAGGGCGTTCCTGTTCTCCTACAGAAAGTTCACAAAAACCAACGTTGCCATACTCTTGTGAGGACCGTGTGCTGTATGTCGGTCTGCAGTGACCCCTCTGATGGATTCATCCTTTTGGTTCCTTCATAGATTACAGGTCTGCAGGGTCAAACACATACACAGCAGCTCAAACGCTCAGTTCTGCTGATGTACAAAGCTGTCTAAATCAGGTGGCATGACCTCGTGACTTCTCCTGAGTGGTTCTGATTGACTCCAGCTGCTGACTCCTCTGATCCAGTTTAAACAGAACCATCTGATCCACTCGGTGGACTCCGACACAAACACTACAGTGGGAAAGTCTGAGGAGCTCAGCAAAGATCAGAAACAGCAAATCAGTGACTGGAACCAGTCAGAAAGTCACTTGGAGCCATTTGAGAGCAGCTTCAGATCCAGAACCATCAGTGTGTCAGCGTACAGTTCACAGTCCAGTTGTGTTACTGCCACCATCAGGGAGGAAACACAAGCTGTCACCTGCTGCTGACAGACGATTGGTCAGGACGGTCAGGAGTCAACCAGGAATCAGCAAAGAGTAGTTCTGCATGAACTAGAAGCTGCTGGAGCACAGCTGTCCACAGCCAGGTGTGTTTGACATCACCGTGGGCTGAGAGGCTGCCGGGGGCCTGTACAGGTGCACGGGAACGTTGTTAATGACTGTATGTCCTGTTACACTGGGGAACGCTTTAACAACTGCAAAGCAACCCAAAGACAGCAGGCCTATCAAAACACAGAGACTGACAACAGTTTCTTAGATTCTACTTTTCCTTTGGGTGTGAGGGACCCAGGTGCACAAGAACCTGCAGGTAAATTAAAAAACAGTGTTTTTATTTCACCCAAAATAAAATAAAAGAATGAAAGAGACAAATTTTCCAAAAAATAGTTCTACATTTGGGCCCATAAGAGGTCAAAAGAAGAGAACTTAACTCAGGCTATAAACAGCAGGAGCAACCCAAAGCCCAAGAATATTTAGTTACCAAACAGGCATCGAGCCCCTGCTGTGAAGGGAGGTTGTTTCAACGCATTAGTTTAGATCTGAAGTGAAACATTGGAAAAAAAGTCTTACAGGAGCACAAACTGGTGGCGGGTGCTCACAAGCTGAACTATATGTCGGAGGAGTTGGTGGCTTTGAAAACAGCAGAATAATAGTTTACTGTCAGAGAGGGCTGTCTGACTGGTAGGCAGGTGGAAATGTTCTACCAACAGCACTGGTCGTCTCGGAGGCTAAAGTCTGTTCTGCTGCTGTCCCCACTCAGGTGCTGTCTGTCCAGGATGTGGAGGTAAAGGTGAAGGATCACCAGGAAAGACACGTATGAAGCATGTGGAGAAAGGAAGGCTGCACAGCTTCTGCCATTGTGTTGCCTTTTCCAGATTACTGCAGCTTTAATTGTGAAAGAAATTAGTCTATTGTTGTCACTGGAAAAGCTTTTCTGATAGCGTTATGCAATCATTCCTGGTTCTGGCTGGGTTCCACGGTGGATGTTGACAACGGCCGATATGTGTTTGTGCTGCCTACCAGGATCTCTAAGCAAAGTGGGAACATCGTCTGTTCAGCTGAATGAGTCTAAAACTGGAGCAGTGGTTCTAAAACATCTGCCGGACCTTCTTCCTTCTGTCTGATAAATGTCCTCAGGTTGTCTTTTCTTCACTGCTCTACCTTCATCTGTTGCTCTTTGAATAGATCTGTCTAACTGGAATGTTGCTCCATCATCTGGGTCTGTCAGGGTCAGGGTCTGGGTGAATCCAGTCCTGACACATGAGCTGTCATATCAGGAATAATATAGCTGAAAATAATAACGTGGAGGTCTGCTCTGTCTCAGCAGTGATTAACGTGAAAAGCAGCAAATAATGTTTGTATAAAAACTGTATTTAAAGTTTAAAAAGGCCGATTCTGTTGTTAATATACGTTTGATTTCTCCTCTCTTTGTGTTCAGCTCATTTAATATAAAATCAATATTACTCACATGGAGGTTAAAACGTGAGTCGATTCAGAGGAAGTTATTGGAGCAGCTGCAGCTCACAGCCTGTGTTCTCTGATCTGTTTGCTCCTCACTGTCACGCCGTTTGTCTCCTTTCAGGTGTCATCAGTTTAACCAGCAACCTTGTGGTGCTGCTGATGTTCGTGAAGTATAAAGAGCTCCGCACAGCCACTAACTCCATCATAATCCACCTGGCCATCACTGACGTGGGGGTGGCTGGGATCGGCTACCCCATGTCCGCCGCCTCAGACATCCACGGCAGCTGGAAGTTCGGCTACACTGGTTGTCAGGTGGGTAGAGCATCAGGTGCCTTACCATTTACTACACAGCAGAACAACCTGCTGGACCTGTTGGAATGTGTTTGTATAAATTATAGTTTACTCACAGGTGTAATGTAGTGGTGTTGGATGAGCTGTGAACCCAATACCACATGAGTGTACAACGGCTGTCAGTACATCCCTGTGGAACTGGATTAGTTCTCAGTTAAACAAGAAGCTATTTGCTCATATTTAACATTCAGAGTGTATATTTTTCCAGTACTTTGTGTTCCACCATTAGTTTCTGACTGTTGTAGGAGGAAGTCCTCTCGTCGCCAACGTAGAAATAATAAAGTGGTATAATATGGATTGTGACATGTCAGGGCATGGTGCAGGGCTCTCGCTTTTATCCCCTCCTATGCTCACCATCTATAACATGAGAATGCTGCTTTCTCATCATGTACCTGCCCAGTGTTAGTCAATCGATGATAAACATTCAGAGGAAATCCTCCTACAACTGGTCTCCCTCTGATCTCCTTTAACTACAGCTCAGTTTGCTCTCCTTCCTTTTAAAATGCCCAGAAGATATTCTGCTGGATGTCA